AAGCCTCTTCCATCGGATCTACCAGCTTAATTTGAATTTGAGTGCACAGTAGTCGATATCGGCGCTTGTGGAGGAACCTCATAATGCTTTACCAGATCCCGAAGAACCCAAACCACTTATGCCGCCCATTGCTGGAACTGAACCATAGCACCACCGTTGGAGGTTATCAACTAAAACTGACTATGCAGTATAGTAGGCTGGAATACCGTCGTAATTTCTTCTCCCTTCGAACGTGTCAGCCATGGAACGCTCTACCAGCCTACGCTGCTCATGCCCCCAACCTAAGGATATTTAAAAACAACTTGACAAAGCATTGTGCCATTCACATTTAATTGTATGACTTGTGTTAACCAACCAAACGGTGTGTTTCCGAATTCCAGTCAGGTTAACATCTCGGTGAGTTCACCAGCGCGGAATCACTTTTATTGGCGCACTCCTCGTTACCGGTACTTTTTTCGTCTTCACCATCCTACGGGACATGTTAAGCGTTCGCTTCCTTACCCGTTATATACCAATGTTTTATTATACACGAGTTCATCTGTAGTAGTAATAAGCTTCGTTGTCATTGGCAGGATACATATTGCAAGTGAACAGAATGTTCAGAAGCTTCCCTCAAAAACAATAGAGGTGTGCGCGATTAAGAACAATGGAACAATGTTGTTATACAGGTAAAAAAGCTTAACAGGTCCCGTAGGATGGTCATGATGTATATTATAAAATGTGGAAAAATTTTCAGCTACAGTGCGTTGACACCAGTGGACTTACCGAAGTATAGTTATCAAAAATTTTAACTCGACTGTAAGTTCATTAATAGTGATGACAAATGGAACGTCAGTGAACATTGTGCCGCCGCCTTTTGAGCATATACAGGAGGTGAAAAAGGTGGAAAGTATTCTGGAAGTTGACCGGCGGTGAAATCTCTAACATACACTCGTGTTTAGACATGGGCAGTGAGTTATGTGAAATGATGCAGCGAAATAAATGCAGGGTCAACTGAACTTTGAACTCTACCACCGTTGGAGAACGGATGACAGATTCCGGTAGGGCATTCCACGTTCTGCAAACGCGCACGGACTGAACTCTATCAAATGGCAACATGTGTAGTTGGGATCTCACAAAATCTGGTAAGTCCAAATGAGGTCCCTGCGCAATCGCCGGTATTGTCCGCTGAAGACCCTGAACACTCGGAGCCTTTATTCACACGGCAAATTGTACAAACCTTTGACATTCTTGTTTGCCCGGCATTAGGGTATCTCCAAGGCGGTGAGATCCCAGCCATGGCTGCCAGACCTGTATTGTTTACTACACATGCGTCCATTACAATGGACGGAGAATATGTGTATGCTTCCCTGACATAATGTATACTTTCCTACTATCTCATCCTGCCGAGCTTGCGAAACACTTGCTTTCTTCATACAACATGACATAGTTCCAATTGGTCTGCGTGACAATGCCCATTGAAAATATACTCGAACAGTGAACATAGTGACTCAAAACATTACATGCATTGCGTTGACCGTGCATTTCTCAGTGCCCAGTGAAAGACTAAAACTCCTCTACCATAACCTTGCGCGCAAAGTGAGTTATTTTCATCCAGGGAGCCATGATTAAACTCTCGCAGTCACGGCTTAAACTCCATACAAGATTATGTCGAAGCGACCAGGTTGTAGCCATTAATGTAGGGCGATGTCCATATGACTACAGATCCGGCGCAATGTATCTTACAGCACCGAGGCTAGACAGTGGAACGTCTGGTAGGTAGATTTAAGAGGATGAGAACATGTTGCCCACCCCTCATCAGCACCAAACGAAAATACTGAGGCGGATTTTCGGAGGATCGAACGAATTTTACTAGCGAAGTGTTCCGACTCGCTTTTGTGCTACTGCTCCAGGAGTAGGGCTTAGTTGGGAGATTGTCCTCGGTGCCAATGGTGAAAATCGTAGAGAGCTACAGGAGACCTTAATGTACACACGGAATAAGGGGCGTGTGATCGTCTCGATAGCTATATTGATGTGTAGCACGGTCGGGTGAGCGTGTAAAAACACCAGCAGGAGGACGTTCGACGAGGTACCAAGAATCACCCATGGAATGGCAACTACACGTTTAAAGCAGCAGTTGATTTGTCGTGTCCAGCCTGCGACAGCCTTAAGAACGCCTGAAAACAATGCTGTCTGCTAGATAACCGTTGAATAGAAGTTATCGGAAGGGATGTGGAAGGAAGGTGAGTTTTTTGTCTCTACCTCGGTGGTTAATATGCTCTCCAATATTTTAGGTAGGTATCGACAAACAACACGCAGTTTAGCTGAAGTTCACGGAATTGTAAAACCTGTTTACTATGATTCTCTTTCTGTAGTCGTGCACGTCGAATGATCAGTTTTATCGCATCGGCTGCTTCGTAAGATTGCTTACGGTCTTACTCCTAGGTAAACGCCTTGAAGAAGCATCTAATGCTTAATTGGTTGAGATCAGCTAGAAGAGGATAACATAAGGAGGACGTTACTAATGGCAGAGGATTGGCTTACCGTGGTCATGGGTGTGGACGCGAAAGGCGATTGGATGGAGTACAGCGAATCCAGTATATTCGCAGCCACCTCCGATTGTTGCTGCGGAATAGCAAAACCATCGGCAGAGTATGAAAATCCAATCGGAAAAAAGGCGCAACAACAAAACCGATCACAAAATGAAAATTTCTCATCCGATGACCGAAGACAAATTGATAGACTGAACTAGCCGCAGCTCATTCGTTTTCAATTACTGTTATGCTTGTAATTATTACTGTTACGTTAGCAACGCGATCTAGGGCAATTGCACCCATCATACCTCGGTGCAAGAATCATGGCTAAATAAAAGAACTGAATTTAGATGAGCGATGAAAAATACTGTGGGATGTAGTTTTTTGTCTCTCCTCGGGCCTTGTTAAACTGCTTGAGTGATTTGTCGCTGAACGACGAACGCCCGTCGGTGCATTGTGGTAGCTACGTGCTTGTATGCAAGGCTCCTTCGGGAGCTCTACGGGATCGGCTTGAGATCAGTCACAAACAACCATGCAAAATTCGGAATACCATATTTATATTTGTGGGGTGTATCGTATGGTGCATTCGCGTCCGCGATCAGGCTCAAACGAGTTCTGGCGGGTTTATCATTTATTGCCAGTCACCACTTGAACTAAAGCCCGTTGCAGCACGCTATTGAAAAAAAGCTTGGGTCTCAGTGTCTGAGACAATTTAAGACACTCGTCTTACCCACCAATCCAGACAAAGTAGTTGATCGCAAACTGAAACATAGTAACGCTTTGGTCCAAAGAAAAGAAGTCATCGGTCCCCACACATCTTTATATAAGCCGAATGGGGAGATTGCATTTACCTTATCCTCAACTAACAATCTATGGCGTAAGAGAGACCTTGAATTCACTCTGTGTGGTTCATTGGGGCCCAAAGCATATCTTGTTTAAACCCAGATTTCCCACGATGTCTATGTTAACACACTAATTGTGCATCTTGTCAGTTTAAGACAGAGGAAGTCAGCCACAACTATTTGGACATAAGCAGGCGATTCATTTGGTTTGGTTACAAGCATAAAAATAGTTTCCTCTAGTCAAGATGCACACAAATTCTCAATGAAATAATGGTTTATGACGGGTAAAAAGCATATGTTTAACATGTCCCGTAGGTTGGTAATAGAAGAGATTGCGAATTCAAATACTACACAAGTAGACCAAATAAAGTGGGTAGTGGTTGGTCCAGATGCACCATAATGAATTTGGTAGAAGTCACCAAGTAAGTAACTTTGTGGTTGCATGGCACCACTACGGTATTTCGTATCTTGACTAGCTGGTTACAAAGACATCGGCAGTACCCCGGTAGCGCAAACCGACGCTTCGCTGTCCCAAGCGGAGTCGTCTGACTAAACTTGCCACACGGTTGCTATTAAGCAAGCTAAGGTAATCGCAAATTTAGCCTGGCTTGAGAAGCAACAAAAGTGTTTACGTTGCTAACGCCAGGCAAGAGTAAGTGAAGAATGCGGAGCGATCCCGTTGCCCAAAATGATTTGTCAGAATAGCTATACGGGGGTGCAGGTTTGTCCAGTAGCCGTATTCAGCTTAAGAACTTGCCTCTATTTAAACAATAGAACAACTGCATCCAGTGGAAACATTATAGTGTTGCTCACCCCAACACTGGCACCCGAAGACCGCGGTTTCGTCCTGGTTGGGACTCATCAGTTCGAGATAGCCTGAGTTGGGCCGGAACTCAGAGTCTAGTGGCTCATGGTTGACACCATAAGCACTATGCCACTGAGATCCACGAGCAACGCTTGGTCCAGCGAGAACAAACGCAAAAACTGCATCCAGTGTTTGGGAAACGCGGGGTAGGTGGGCTATTGATAAACAATCAATTAACCCAATGGTATGCATAAATATTAACTTTTGATTCATCACTCATGCAAACAGCTACTGCTACATTTATTTGCCGTTAATGTCTTATAAAAATGTGCATCGTATTTGGGACTTACTTTGTCATCAGCTAAGTAAGCTCACCCAAACTTGCAGATCATCACATTGCATTATTTAAAAAGTGTGAAATAAGCATTTAGTATGGTGTTATGTTGTAAAATTAGTGGCAGAAACAAGCCAACCGATTAATAGTGAACCTGCTGTTTACCTGGCCGAATGCGGAGGACATCGATAGCAAACACCGTTCGGCGGAACACCAATAATCCAAGCACCGAAGTGCGTTGGATCCAATAACCACTATTCAATTCACCAGAACATCAAGGATCAACAACGGTAATAAGTGAGGTTGAAAATAAAATGAATAAAATAAAATGAAATCCAGAGCTCCGGAAAACTAATCGGGATCGAAATCTAACAACAAATTGGGCGAAACCGAATTCAGGAGGGCTAGTCACTGCGCGACTTCTCAGTTTTGGACAATTTCCAACTATTGGTGTGGAACATCTCGTGCCCCCATCGACGAAGACGGCACGCATCAGCCTGACCCAGTCTCTTAATCACTTCATGTTCCTATGTCACAGCACCGACTGGTTATCTCGCGCATTCACCCAAATCGGTGCAGCTACCGCATATAAGGAAACGCTTGAGGAAGCCAGTCGACGGACATACGGAAGGAAATACCTAGCCAACATAAGCGGTTTAGATTCAGCAAACAATCTACTGAGACACCAGAAGGCTTATTATCGAAAATCAACTGGCAGATCTCGGCATTGCTCATCCAGAGTTCCCACCAGATGTGAGCAGTACTCGCATGCACTGGAACTCCAACACCGCCACACGTTTACTGCCTTCAATGCGAATTGACTAGGTCTCCGAACCATACAGTAACACCGGTCCTATCGCAGTGTTCTGCACCCTATCTTTTACTGACAGGCTGATTTCTCGCCGTCTCCACAGATGGTTGAGTCTCTGAAGAGCCACACGAGCTTTGCTGATACGCGAAATAACTTCCTAAGTGATGTATCCACCAGATATGACACAGCTACCAACGTTAGTGAACTAATCCACGACTTCCACTGGCTGATCGGAAAAAGCTGGAACCGGAGGTGTATCGGCAAAGTCCTGCAACAGTACTTTGCATGTTGAAGGTGCAAAGTACAAAGCGCTACACCTCAGTCCATCCATAAGTGTTGCACAGTCACTGCGTCTGACTCAAGAACACTATCGTCCGCATACTCAAGTTTTGTCTGTCGTCCACCGGGCAGGACTTCCACCCCAGAAGATTTTGAAACAATGAAGTCGTTTCGATCAATTAGTTGAGGAGGTAAGGAAGTTGAGAACAACCATGGCGAACCCAACTCTTGCTGGGAAACTCAGGTGGCAGCTTCCCGTATACCCTAATTCTGTTTTGAGAGTCACGGTAGAGAGACACTAGGATGGAAAGTTATCCAGGCGCTCCCTTCACGAGCGGGCGCAATCAGCAAAGTCAAAGGCGCCTTTCAAATCAAATAAAACCACCACATTCTGCTGTCTGCAAGTGTGTCTCTTCTCTAACACTTGACGAGGAGAATGTGGCCAACCACCTTCCAAATACTCGACGTTACCGAGGACCAGTAAGCCGCCGAAGGACAATTTCCGGGAGAAATCACCCTAGTAGTCCACTTAGACGATTCCATTAAGTGTTCGGTTCACCGACCGCATCCATAACTGGTAATTTGTGGGCCTATTCAACGTGATATTATTGAGTTGCGGACTACAAGTTCAAGGTAAACTGAGAAAGCTTAGAAGTTAGGCAGTTCGTTGAAGCGGAAAATGTGAGCGCCTGGCGTGCGCGCACTACAACATGATTAGAATCCAGGCAATCGCTCCAAATTGATCGACAAACGGACGAATATGCGCCTTCTGTAGGTTATAGTAATATGGTCAGTTTTGGTTCAAGTCATTGAGGAACTCGGTGAGCGCCAGGAATCACGATGTGAATGTTTGTGCTGGAAACTGGTGCTGCTCATATAAGGATTATGGTCGGCACGTAATCGCAGGAATCGATCACCATCGTCGCTTCAGTGTTCATCGACCCCGAAGCGGGCTGCCATAGGTTGTTCAGATCCTGAAGGACGACCTACTTGGACATTCAAGTCAACAGCAACAATCACGGTGTCAACATTTTTCGCCATAAGGATAAGGGATGAAATATGGTATTATAAATCGGCTTTGGTACTCTCCGAACTGCATTCAGTCGGAGCACAAGAAGAAACGGTGGAAAGGCACCTTGTCTTCAGACAGTGCGTATTAACCCCAATAGAGTTTCGGGGTCGGAGAGCCGTACACTTGTACCCATTCAAGTAGACTACCTGCTGCATTTTTTCTGAGGGCAATACAAACGCCGTAAATATTTTAAGCCAGTTGTTCATTTGACTCAGTAACGCCATAGGCACGAAATGTCAATATTGTCCGCAGATTCGGAACCTAGGCGTCGATAAACCATAACTATATATGAATAAATATCAGAAATCAGTTCAGGGTGAAGAATTCTTTTCGGTAAACCCTCATCGGACCCAAACGTTTACATAGCACTGCTTTTAGGGAAAGCGTCAACTCGGGTTGGGATTGACTTTTTGACTGTTTGAAGGATGAAACTCGATATCTTGAGCCACGGATCTCGAGGGTATGCCAAGTGAACTAAATAAACATGCATACAATACTCAGTAGTCCGAAGTAATTAGGTAGGTAACATAACAACCAAATATTTGTACACCGGATACCGTCAACGAAGAACTACAGAGAATCACCGATGAACTCAGGGAAAATGGTTTTCATGATAAATTTACCATGAAACATTTGAAGGAACGCAATCAAAAGCCACTTAGGAGCAATGCTCCTAAGAAAGAGCTTTTCATACATATACAATTTAAGGATGATTCTGCAACTGATATGTTATCCAGACGCCTAAAAGATGCTGTCGAGAAAACTTATTTCACGGCCCGCTTGAGAATCGTTTTTTACAATAAGCCGTTGCTTACAAAACCCTTGAAGAATAGACTACCGTCTTTGACCTGTTCAATGATCGTTTATCAGTACTCATGATCCTGTGGTGCATGATACGTGGGTCGCACGACGAGGCGCCTATCTCAGAGGATTCGTGAACACATCCCGGCATGGTTTTACAAATACGAAATGAGGTCTTCAGACAGCCCAATCATGTCGCACCTCCTTGAATGTGGCCATACAGCTTCAGAGAATGACTTCAAAGTCATTTACTCATTACCTGAACACTTCTCCCAAGGATTCCGCAAACAGCTCTTATCCATCGCCGAGATTATGTACATTCATTATCTAAAGCCGGAATTATGTGTCCAACAACGATTTATACGGCCGATATTACTATATTGGCCAACGGACATTATTACTTAGTTCTTTGGTTGTTATCTTACCAAGTTAATTACTTCGAACTAGTGAGCTTTGTGTATGCATGTTTATTTATTTCACTTGCTTTACCATCTCTCTCCTTATCTCAAGCTATCAATCTTGATCATTCAAACAGTCGAGCAGTCATTCCCAGCCCGAGTTACACTTTTCCCAAAATCAGTGTTATGTAAACGTTTAGGTCCGATGAGAGTTTACCGAAAAGAATTCCTCACCCTGAACTGATTTCTGACATTGATTCATATTCATGAAATGGGAATATTTGGTTTCCTGAAGACCAGCATTGCCCGTGACTCATTGATAGCTATATATATATATATATATATATATATATATATATATATATATATATATATATATATATATATATATATAATCTTGCAAATCTGCTTATGTGGTATAGTTTATTAACGAACATAGCAAGGAACTTTGCTTGTACCTCTGGTGAGCCGTAGTTCCAGCAACGATATCTACTCCGCTGTTTCTTCGGTGTTTTAATGGGATTTGTATTATGTCTGTGAATCAACACATTTTTAGCTCTTGTTTTTGCCAATCTGCAATAAGGCTACTAACGATGGGAAAGTGGACACCAAGTATGCCGCTTTCTTTATCTGTTACCTTTTTATTTTGGGCATGCAAGTCATGTACACAGGATTATGGGGCGCATGCGAATGATTTTGTCAGTTATCTGGTACATGCTAGCCATTTTTTCTCGTTATCCGACTGGCTGTGAAAGAAGTTTGCCGACCGCTGATTTAGGTGCCTAGTTCACCTGCACCCCAGGTGCAGGGTACCTCGGACACACGACTAGGAGTCACTCCAAGCGGATAGTGGAGCACCAGCCTGCCTCTTTGTAACATTGTACGGTTAAGATTGTCCTCTATTCGCCAACCTGTGTCTAGTATCGGTCATCAGATTCGAACTGATGATGCGCTCAATAGTCTACACGTATTCTACACGGTACCGAGGCGCAACCGCAAAGGAATGATAAATTGCTTGTTGACCACTGCTGAGGTCTTTGCAATCAGGCTACTTCAGCCGAAGTTGTGCAAGCACAGAACACCAATACAAAGTATCATTTTGCCACGGCTGTAATGTCGGACTGCGACTACGATTGAAAGTGAGCGTTATGGACCTACCGGCCAACGCGTCTATGTTTTCACCATGTGTGCATCTTCGTGCGTGCTTGCTCGTCTCATGAAATTCGAGTGTATCGAGTGGATTATTGACCAACATCGCTGAGCCAACCAATCGCTGCCTTTTTTCTGCGTTTATCTCAGTCATGACATTGGTAAATAGTTGGTGTACGTCACACGCATCCATCGAGGAGTTGGAACAATTCACGCCCCTGCGACCACGGACAGCCGTAGGTCAGAGATGGCGTGCTTGTATCAATATGACTAACGGCTGCCTGGCTTGAGGAGAACAGTAGCAAACCAATGAGCACGGGGCAGTGCCCTCCCATCGTCCGAGACAATGCGCCCGTGGTCTATGCTAATCGAGCTACTGAGGACAAGTATACCACACTCGACTCGATTACAATCTAGGGGTTGATGTAGCGATTCTTGGGAACAATAAGACATCTGAATACCGATGACTCACTGAAACCGTACGGCCGCACTGCGCCATCCATGACGAATAGATAGATGCCAGCAAGATACTTGCTCCTGAAATAAAAGCATACATTTCGGCTGATAGGGTAACAGCAATTGTTGCTTACGGAGTGGTCTGCATCGTGAGCAGCCAACCGCTGCTGTCCGTATGGTCTGCTGAAACAGACACGCAAAATGTCAGGTGAATAAATATGAACTCACGTGAAGCGGCAAAATACTTGATGTCCTTGTAATGTACCTGAAGAACCAAGTAATCATACACTGTTCCTCCAACTGGAATAGAGGTGTCTGAATAAAAGATATAATGAGAGTGGGGTTTAGTTGAAGATTAAGAAACTTTTAGAGAACATGCATTTCTTTTCAACGGGTGCACCTTATTCTAACTGTATCCTGCTGAATGTTTATGGCATTCGGCAAACCGGCGTAGTGTGGAGGGATGTACCAGCAGCCGCGTGCATTTAATAGTCTCTTCACCCTAATTATGATGACGCGAAACGTTGCATCTATGCAGACTAGAGGGCGCTACCAAACGAACCATGTGTAAAGCAGTGGTCCATAGTGATAACAATAATTGACGAGTCTTTACTTTTGTACATACAGTATCATCTAATCCAGTGCAGGACTACGATTGATTGCTAAATGAACTGGTGTGAGGTAACATAATCAAGAAGACAGAAATCGCATTGGTCTGCTGATGGGATGGTGCCATTGGCTTCCCTGCGCACGGGTGTTAATCTGAGAAAGCTGGCTAAATGGTCGTTTACACTGGAATTCAAACCCCTGGTAGCTCTAATTGTGTCAATGACTCCGTAGTTACGCAGAATTCGGTAAACACAATGTGAGTTGGTGTCGATGTGAGGCTACATAACTATCAAACGGTGTACTCCTACCTTCGAACTAGGTGGAACTACAACTGTTGCCGTGCAAACACCTCAATGATTTCATCATCATCTTTCAAGGTTTGCCCCCATTTTTATCTAGACCGTCCTATATGAACTGAAGAGCGTTAGCCCCTTTACACGTAATATATCCTCATCCTTCGCATCGGCACATATTACCTAAATGTGAGAACCAACTCAGCCATTGTGCCGAAGTATAAAAGACAAAATAAATGATGAATGCAGTACACAAGAAGTACTATAACGTTTAAGATCACAGTATGCATTGTGTGTGTGAGATCGTGGTTAGAGG